ATTTTCTTGGAGGAATGCACACCTGGAGCCCTTGATTACCTACAGCCTGGCAACGGAGCCGTACGTGAAAACCACAAACCATTGAGGACCGGATCATACAACCTTTGGATGGGGTAAAACGTCCAAGGTGCCTAATACATATCGATGCTCGATCGAACCGATGGCCATCGTCACAACAAGCAAAGTGTGTGTGTGTGTGTGTGTGTGTGTGTGTGTGTGTGTGTGTGTGTGGTTCGTTAATGACTGCTTTGAAATCAGAGTTCTTAGTCAATTTGGATGTTGTATGAATTCACTCTTTCACACGTTTACCAATATTATCTCTCCTATAATGCGGTGACTGGCATGAGCATAATGAAGAAAACTGTTACAACACTGAGAAGCGCAAAGCGAATCTAGAATTAAATTCACTGGAAATGTACAATTCAGCTGCTAAAAAATGTGCTGGACATCAAACTAAGGCATGTAGGGACGGTGTCAAAATGCGGGGAAGAGGTTAACACTGACGAAAATTCCGACAGATTATTCAGGGATCTATGTGTAGATTAATTTATAATGGTCCATTGTCGTCAGATGAATCAGAATCCAATGTGTATGTGATTTGTTTTCAAAAATATCTCAACAAACAGAAAAAATAGTTGCTCACCGGTAGACTCATCACTGTCCCGACGCGGACAGATAGCATCGATCTCATCAAAGAAAATCAAACACGGTTGACACGCCCGTGCTCGTTCGAAGATTTCACGCACTCGACGTTCACTTTCACCTTGGAATTTGTTCAGCACCTCCGGTCCTTTCACAGACAGGAAGTTTAGCCCGGCCTGGTTTGACAACGCTTTCGCAACGAGCGTCTTTCCACAGCCTGGAGGACCTTCGAGTAGGACCCCACCGGAGCGCCGATGAAGAGCTTGTGCCCGTTCCCAATCGTCGACCAGTAACTAGAAAAAACAAACAATGAAGTGGGTATGGATTAGGCATTAACTGAGGCAGCCCATGACTCGGAGGCACCATAAAGTCCCGATGTGTAGTGATGCTAACGGAGTGTGAACTCAGCTGTACGCCA